TTACTCGCAGAAAGAAAATAAAAGTCAAGTTTAAACATAAAAGGAAGGTTTGAAGAGAAATAGAAGATTTCCGCAGAAGAAAAGGAAGGATCGAGAAGAATGGAAAGTTCCCGATTTAAGTCAAATCTGGGCGAAATGGAAAGATCGGATAGCCAAGATGATGAGTATATAAAGAGGAGGTCTAGGGCAGAGGCATACACACAAAAATCCAGAGCTCTCACCACCAAAATTAGCATTTAGGAATCTTTCCGTTTTTCTGTTAGCGAGCTGCGTCTCAATTAGGGTTTTCTAAGTTCTTACGTTTTCGGCTACTCTTTTTTGTAACCAGTTCAACGCAGATTCGGAATAAGAACCTTCTTGCTTTCAAACCTCTCTTATTTTTCGTTTTTATTCTAAGTGTTTTAGTCATCTTAATCTTTGTTGTGCGGTTCTCGCAGATAGCCGGTTCCTCTGGAAACTTAGGGTTTTCCCGAAGTTTCCTTTTTTACGATTTATTGACAGTAGGGTGAAATCGACTCCCAAACTCGAGAGATCGTTTTATAAAACTCGAGAGATCGTTTTATAAAACTCGAGAGATCGTTTTATAAAACTCGAAGATCGTTTTATAAAACTCGAGAGATCGTTTTATAAAACGATCTCTCGAGTTTTATAAAACGATCTCTCGAGTTTTATAAAACGATCTCTCGAGTTTTATAAAACGATCTTCGAGTTTTATAAAACGATCTCTCGAGTTTTATAAAACGATCTCTCGAGTTTTATAAAACGATCTCTCGAGTTTTATAAAACGATCTTCGAGTTTTATAAAACGATCTTCGAGTTTTTATAAAACGATCTCTCGAGTTTTATAAAACGATCTCTCGAGTTTTATAAAAAGATCTTCGAGTTTTTATAAAATGATCTCTCGAGTTTTATAAAACGATCTTCGAGTTTTTATAAAATGATCCTCGAGCTTTATAAAACGATTTCTCGAGTTTTATAAAACAATTCTCGAGCTTTATAAGACGATTTCTCGAGTTTTATAAAGCGATTCTCGAGTTTTATAAAACGATTTCTCAAGTTTTATAAAGCGATTCTCGAGTTTTATAAAACGATTTCTCGAGTTTTATAAAATGATCTCTCGAGTTTTATAAAACGATCTCTTGAGTTTTATAAAACGATTCTCGAGATTCATAAAATTGTTGCGTTTTCGTGTCTGCGGGGAATTTTGGCTATTGATTCCGTCGTACCGATTTTGACCCCAACAATCTCTTCCAGCTTACTGTCTTGGGTGGGTAGAGGTGGATTTGAGTAGAATGAGTTTCCATAACTCATGTTGTTGTTGAGGTTGCTGCTACTATAGTTGGTAGGCTTCTGTGAACTCTGGTTGAAGTTTATTTTCTGTCCTGCGAAGTTTCCGTCCAGACCTCTAAAATCCAGCTCCACTGATCCAGTTCACATCTTCTTCTGTGTATTCCTCTTCAGCTGCAGTTTCTGCATCCTCCACTGAGAAAATATGCTTGTTTAGTAACTTCTGAACATTATCCAGTTGTTCTTGCACTTCATTAATCTGTTCCTTCCCAAGGAATGATGTAGCTTTTGTCTACACAGTGTTCTTTGTGTTGTTGCTTGAAGCTAGGTTATCAATTAACTTCACAGCCTCTTGCGGATTCCTGGTGGTGAAGTTGCCTTCACTAGCTGTGTCTAGAGCCATCTGATACTTCAAGGTGATGCCTCTGTAGAAAGTGCAGAGCAGTTGCACTTTGTTGAATCCGTGGTGTGGACAATCTCGCTGGTAGGATTTGAATCTGTTCCATGTGTCTTTAAATGATTCTCCAGGATCCTGAGTGAATGTAGCAATTTTCCTCCTCCATTCTTCAGCGCGTGAGTCATCAAAGAAGTTACGCAGGAATGCGTTTTTTATGTCACTCCAGGTTGTGAGAGAACCTGGTGGTTGTTGTCTCAGCCACTGCAAAGCTTCTCCAGATAGAGAGTATTTGAAAAGCTTGCAGAGAAGATAGTCTTGAGGGACTCCATTGGCTTTTATAATTGTTATGAGATCCTCGAACCTCTCCAGATGGTCCATAGGATGCTCATGGGACAACCCACAGAAGGGTATTTGTCCTACAAGTGTGTAGTACTGCGGCTGGAGCTCGAAATCTCCTCTCTGAATAGTAGGAAGGCAGATGGCTGATCGGTTGGTATAGAACTGATCTTGACGGTTGTAGTCAGCCAAATTTCTAGCTCTGTTAGCCTCTTCTACAGGTTGAATAAAGTCTGTAGGTGCCGTTTCTTGCTCAGGAATGATCTCCTTCTGAGCATTCAGCTTCTGACCTGCTGCATTACGCAGGTGACCATCTTAATCACGCAGGTCTCCATTCTCATCAGTAGTGAGAATAATAGTCGCTACCATGTCTCACCGGTAAGTATCGATCGATTTAAGATGAGGTATATCGATCGATGTCGGATGATTTCGGTCGCCGAACTGTTGTTGATGTCGATCGATGGAAAGGTGCGAGTATCGGTCGACGAAGAAGGTGTCTCGGTCGACTGTGGTAAGCGAGTGTCGGTTGACGAACGGTTGTTATGTCGATCGATGTGGAACGTAAGTCTCTGCGGATGCTACGTTCCAAATTGTAGGGGTCTTCTGAGTACACAAGTTGGTTGTTCTTGTTGCTTCTAGTACTGCTGGGCATGTACCTGAAAAAGACAAGAAAAAATTTTGTGTTAGAAGATAATTAAGCAGTAAAAAAGTAACCTAGACCTAATCAGATTAAATCTAATAGCGGTCAAAGTTCCCCGGCAACGGCGCCAAATTTGATATCACTCAAATTACCCTAAGGAGTGAATTACTCTCTCAAATAAGAGGTTCACTTGTAGTACTTAGGGATCGAATCCACAAGGAACTAAGGAACACAAAAGATAAAATCCTTAGTGATTATGCTAGGTTGATTAAGTTTAAAAGTAAATTTGCAGTTGTGAGCAATGGTGAGTTGCTCAAGAGAATTAATTTAGGTTTTAAAAAATAAAAGAAAGTAGTTAGATTCAAGGGTTGCTATTCAGATAATCATAATTATAATGCTACAGATGTCTTTATAAGTTGTTTGCAAGATATTAAAGAACTTCAACTCTTAGATAAGTCTATTAGCAATCGCTATCTAGACTCGTCTATTGATCTGACTGCCGGCAATATCGACCGATGGGTTGACAGCGATATCGGACGATATGGTTTGCCGTCGATCGATTACTCTATAGGAGTATCGATCGATATAGCTTCATATCGAATTGAATATGTGTTCACCAAGATCATATACCGGCTCTCGTTCGTCCCTAGAGGATTTTAGCTTATGCTAGATGATTTCAGGATGATGATTAACAAGTTAAATCATTCCATGATCATACTCTAGTTAGCTACTCTAGAGTAAGCATTAGGGTTCACTAGGATAATGAATATCACAACTCAAAAATCCACAGATGGGGCTAATCCCTCATAACTATTTGAACCTCAAATCTAACAAGTGAATCTACTAAGACATGGCTAAGTGATTCATAGCATCAAGGTAATAATAGAAATTCATAAGATTAGAAGATTGAACACTTGGTTCTTTTGGACAACAAATCTCTTTGTGTGTTCGTCTAAATCTAGAACTCTATAACCTTATGAAAATGAGAATAAGATGAAAAGAATACTTTTATAAATCAAAGAACTAAGAGTATTAAGAATAGAAGCAATCAAAGGCACTAAAAAGCACACTCAAAAAGCACACTTTTCCAAAACACATAGGCATAACTATAAATATTAGTTCAATTAGGTTAAAAACTCGGCAGGGGCAATCTTGTAATATTGAGAGAACTTGGGCTTCAAGTAGGCTGAGTAAAACTTGTTCTTCACACTTGATATCGATCGATGGTACAAGGCGTACATCGATCGATGGAGTATCTCGATTCGTCCTCTTCTACGGAAGCGTCGTCGATCGATTACACAGGATGTGTATCGATCGATATGTATCACTGGATATCGACCTTGTTGTCTGATCTTCATAGTCATCTCGGGAAAACTCTCCTTTAAGCTCCATAAGAGCACCTAAATCATCTCTTTACTCCAAAATGCTCCTGAACCTAAAAACATACCTAATAGACGCCAAAACACACACACATATATATATATATATATGTATATATATATTATAAAATCATCTCAATACCATGGCTAAAAGTGGGTCAAAACCATGGTAGATCAAGCTCCTCTCCTAAAAGGTCATCATCTTCATTATCGTCTCTATCCTTTTGATTACCGATATCTCCTTCGTTTAATTCGTTAACTTCCATATCTGAGAGTGCTCCAATAATTTGTTCATTCTCACCCACAACCTCCTGCTGATCGAAGCAAAGAGAACTAGCCACACCCCTAGATCTTATAGTAACATTGTCTTCCATTGGTAAATGTTGTACCGCCGGTGAGATAACAACACTAGCTGCTTTCTTATTTTGACGCTCCGAACTAGTGTGAGCCTCCACAGATTCCTGATGATCCCGGTTTTCTATGGAATGCCGAGTCTTTGAATTTGAGACACGTTCATAAGGAACTGCCCCACCAGCCCATTCTCCATTCGTGTCGCACCTTACATCTTCTGGATATGTATTCCTTCCCTGCACCCTTGACTTATCTGGGTTCTTTTCCCTCCAAAGATGGTTATGCTTGCGATCATACGGACCGTGAGCATAACGTGAACCACGAGAACGAGTATCACGTGGCAGAGCCTACCTATCTCTGATGATACGGTCAGAGTGCTTTTGTCCATTTTGTTTGTCACTAGCCCTATAGGTATAGTCCATATGAGACTCCCCTTTTGGATGTGTACACAAACGGTCACGCAAAGAAGCCCCACTTGTCCTTTTAGCTCCAAAACGCATGTGATCAAACTGAGCACGAGCCGTAGGATTATCACTTTGACGTTCAGCTCCACGAGTGTCATTGGGCGAAGTCCGATCACGCCAATGAGTGGATTGGACACGCGCAAAAACATTCCCTCTCTCAGACACAGGCCTCTGGATAGAAGTGGTAGCTGGGCAATACTCCTTCTCATGAGACAACATCCCACACGCCGTACAATGTTTGAATAGCAAATCGTACTTGATCTCAACAGTTACTTCCTCGTCCTTTGGGCTGTGCACCTTCCTTTTGAACTTCAGTGGCGTCCTGGAATCAATATGAATAAGCATCCTTCCCTCGGTAAGCTCCAATGCATCCACATAGCCCAACCGCCCTCCAATATTTCTTAAATTCCGATCAGTCCAGAGATGAAGCGGCATACCAATCAATTGTACCCAAAAAGGTATAATCCAAGGGTCATCGTCATGCACAAATGGCTCCCAACGCACCAATACAAACATGCAAAATTGTAATGGAACAGACCCATGCTTAGGACATAGTTGAGGTCCTCCTCAGTGGAAAAACTTTGTAGAAACTTGTCGTTCCCCAAGTCGCTTGCAGTGACTTTGTCTTGCATTCCCCATTGTGCAGGCATCTTCTGTAATAATTTCTCCACATTTTGTTTTTTGGGATTTAAGATCTTCCCAATAAGAGACATACGATACTCTTTAATAACAAAAGCATCATCTTGTTCAGTAAGGATAATAGGCTCATCATCGTCCTCATAGAGAACCCCTTTGCCTTTTGGATCTGCCATAAGAACAGATCACAAGATAAAACCACTTGCTCTTTGCGTGATTTGAAAGAGAATCTTCTCCCAGCCGTACGTGAAAGCGAAGCCGGAAACTCAGAGGGTGAAACATGTTGGAGAAGAAAGCCTTAAGGATCTCCCAACCACAACAAACGACAATGATCGTGTTGTTATGTGGGATTGATCAAATTCAGTAAAGATCTCGATCAGTTTAGGTGTTGAAACGCCGTCGCCATGGTAACACCTTCAGAGCTTATCGTTTCTGAAGCAGAGAAAAGTGATCCGTGGAGGAGAAGAAGGCCGTGAGTATGGTAGCTAGAGGATCTCCAGACCACAACAACCGACAAGGATCGTGTTGTTATGTGGGATTGATCAAAGCCAGTAGAGAATTCGATCAGATCTGGAAGCTTGGATGTTGAACGCTGTCGCCATGATATCGCCTCAGAGCCTAGGGTTTTTGTTTGAATGAATATTATCAGATTCAAAAATATCTTTTAAATAAGCTATTTAAATTAGATGAAATCCATGTTTTCATATCCATTTTGGAGAATCGTATATAAGCCGGTTTAGTTATAATGAAAATATGTTAATTAATTTGTTAAGATCTCAAAATCCTTATCAACTCGTGGCTATTAGTGGTAACTTGGTAAACATAATTAGAAAACCTCTACAGTATTTTAAAGTTATTGAATTGAATTTTTATTTATTTTACCATACAAAGCATTGAATAAAATATTTTATTTGTAATTCTTAATAATTTTTAAAAATTACTATGGCACCAATAGAGAATTAGGATATAGAGAACTAAAATTAATTTATTACGTTTTTACAATGTTAAAAATATAAGAGTTTAGTTTTAATTTGAAATTCATTTCTTAGAATTTTTTTTTATCAATTAACGTATTTAATCCAACTTAAATATATGTCTCGATGTGTACGTTCATAATTTTTTTAAAAAAATAACCTCTATATATTAAAGGAGAAACATTATAACATTTTAGTTAGCCATGTGTCATCACCACAATGAGTCTTAGGAATCCTTAGAAAAATAGATTGATCCATCTATGTTTATAATAAGTTTTTTATCAAACTAACCATAAATTTATCATTATTATTTTTCATTATTTCCTTAAATAAAGTTATGGAATTTCCTAATATGACTAAAGTATATATGAAGATTAATGGTTTTGAATAATAAAAATAGTAAAAGTTAGTTTATCATCTATCATATTTTTTAATTTTAAATTAACAAAATAAATTAAACAATTATATTTTCCACACACATTTTTTTAAGATTTTTTTCTATGTTATATTTTGATTTTTTAAAGGAAATTAAATTATTAAAATTATAAATGGCTAAAACTATTAATCCCACAACAAAATTTTGTTATCAGTGATTTCAGTATTTTGTTAAAAACGCAAATGATCAGAAAACCATAAAGCATCATTTATTATATATCAATACTAAAAATACACAATATATATGATAATATCATGTAAACTTAATCGTATACTACATAAAATGAATTAATAAATTATTTGTTTTAATGAAATTTATTTATATGTTCATCCCAATTTAATATAGTTACTGATTTTGAATTATTCAATATATCTCATATATATTAAATAAAAACATTACAAAATTTTAGGTACACATGTGTTATCACCACAATGAGTCTTAGAAATCCTTAGAAAAAATAGGTTGGTCCATCTCTGTTTATAGTAAGTTCTTTTATCAAACTAACCATAAATTTATCATTAATGTTCTTCATTATTTTGTTAAATAAAATTACGTATTTGCTCAATGTGACTAAAGTATATATGAAAGTTAATGGTTTTGAATAATAAAAATTAGTTTATCATCTATCATATTTTTTAATTTAAAATTAACAAAATAAATTAAACAACTATATGGTCCACAAAAATAAAAACTTAGATTTTTCTTTCTATGTTATATTTTGATTTTTTTTAAATGACTATAAATTATTAAAATTATAATCTGCTAAAACTATTAATCCACAATAAAATTTTGTTATCAAGGATTTCAGTTTTTTTTTGTTGTAAACACAAATGATCAAAAAACCATATGAATAGAATGAATCATTTAATATATATCAATACTAAAAATACACAATATATACGTTAGTATCATTTCAATTTAATTGTATATCACATAAAGCAAAATAAAATAATTGTTGTTTTAATGAAATTTATTTATGTGTTCACAAAAATTTAATTATATACGTAATAGTTACTGATTTTAAATTATTCAATATATATTTATTATTTTATAATATTTAAAAGAAAAATACATATAAATAATACCGCAATTTAACTATATACGTAATAGTTACTGATTTTAAATTATTCAATATATATTTATTATTTTATAGTATATAAAAGAATAATACATATAAATAATGAATATATATATAATGTTCACTCCACGCAAGACGCAGATCTTAATCTAGTATTAAGATTTAATACTTTCTTTCCAACGTATATTTATAACATATCTCACATTATAAAATTTTAATACTTCAGTAACATGAAATATAAAATGATGTGGAGTTCCAGTTAGATATATATATATATATATATATATAATATTTCCATGGGATGATTATAAATTAGTTAACAATATCTAAAAAAATCTGAAATAATTAATGTTGTTGATTAATCATAATGTAGAAGTGGCATTGTCTTGTAAATATTATAGAAAAGAAAAGGCAGAATCTTATTAGTGATTCTGATTTAATAGTATACAATCCACTCCAGAGAATTGTTTTAAACTTTATTATAACTAGGTGGAAGGCCCGCCTATGCGGACATTATTAAAATCCATATGTTACATGTATAAAAATTAATGTGAATATATATATATATATATTGTAACTCTGTTTTTCTCTCTCACAATTACTCCATTTTTCGTATATCTTTCTATCTTATTTTGGAGATGATTGGTAAGTGAGGTGAGTACTTTCTACGGCTTCTTTCTTTATACAACCACTTTAGTTTAACAATCATGGTTTTAAAAAATTATTTAAAGCTACAGTCCTAAAATTAAAATAGGAAACAAAATGGTTTTTGAAATCAGTTTTTCTAGAGCTTTATATTTAGTGTTGTGAAAATTATTAATAGAAATCTACAACAATAAATCTACATTAACGGCAACAAAATCTACAGCTACTATTCTAAAGCAAAAAATAAAAGCCACAACACTTGCCAATCACCCCCTTATTTTGTTTCTCTTTTGTTTGTTTTTTCACACATATTCATCCGGTCTCTTTCTGTATCTCTCTATCTCATGTCTCTCTTTATACATCTCTCGCTCTCTTTCCTTTTATTTCTCTCAGTTGATCAAATAATCTCAAAATCTCTCAAACTTACATTCACTCTCTCACAATCACTTATATTCACTCTCTTGCCCTCATCCTCACTATAACCCTCAATACTTCACTTTCAAAATTTCTCTATCCTTCTTTCGGTTGCAAAATTTTCACCAAATTTTATTAAATCTTCAAACTCTCTCACATAGTATTAATAAATGATTTCAAAATCTATCTTACTTACATTCAGTCTCTCACTTATATTCACTCTCATCTTCATCTTTATCATAACCCTCACTCTCACTTTCATCCTCATCATCACCATCTCTCCCTCTCTCACATATTTGTTATTTAGTGTTTAACATAAAAAATACTCTAATCATTTATAAAAGTGACTGAAATTTTTTAAAATTATATATTTGACTGCTTTGCATTCATTTGACACATTTTTATAATATACGTATATAATGCATAGAAATATTATTAGGTTTCTATTTATTATTTTTCCACAATCTATGATTTATTATCTCCACTATAAATATAATATTTAAAAAATTGTTTATAAAATTGTTTACGTAGTATCATATGTATTTATATTATATTATAAATTTATATAATGGAATCTATGATAATCAACTCTTTCAACAAAAAAATTATAACCTAGATTAGATTAGGTAATTCTATTATTAGTTTCCTTTTAAAAACTTGATTAAAATAAATAAAAATTTAAATATCAACAACCAATCAAATTAAGAGAATTAATTTTAAACGTCACCTTTGAGTGACACCTAAGCAAAAATTACTTAAGGTACTTCTCAATTAATATATAGTAAGATTAATTTTAGGGGTGAAAATAAACCAAATCCAAAAATTTGAAAATTTTCACCAAATCCGATCAAATAAAAATGAATCCAAACCGAATCGAATCCGATATAAATACCAAATGGGATTTGTTTTATGGTATTTTGGTTATGAGTTTTATCCAATGCGAACTCGAATATGAATGGATATCCGAAAAATCCAAAATTTTCAAAATTCCAACAAATACTCGTACCAATCTCAAACTCAATCTCGAATATGTACCAAAATACTCTTATGATTTCGTTGAGCACCTAAAATAAGTACTCCCTCCGTTTCATTTAGTTGTCATTTTAAGTTTATGCACAAAGATTAAAAAACCATTTAATTTTGCATATTTTCAAAATTAAAACAGGATTACCTATAGAGATAACTATATTTTAACCAATAGAAAAATAAAAAAGTATATAAAACTAATAAATTCTGCATTGAAATTATAAAACGACATGTATTTTGAAAAAATTACAAATAAAGTGGATCGGAAGGAGTATTTATTAAAGTCAAATACTTAGATTAATATTGTTGGTACGTGTTGCTCTTCTTTCTTCTATATAGTCAAATGTATTGGGTCTAGTGTGTCTTCGTTTCGAGTTTATCAGATATGATGTACTTGCACATAAATTTTGAGTTTTGTTATTTAATTTCATTGTCTTTACTTGTTAACTTCACATGTCAAATTACGCTAGAACCAAAAAGAATGGTGACAAGAGCATTTCTCATTTCAAAATTTTGATTTTTGGTCTTTACTTCACTGAATTTTTATTTGGTTCTTGGAGTTTAACTAAATACAAAACATTACTTTGAAACTGGATATCCGACTAAAAAGGGAAACCCTAAATTATATTAGGTTTAACCATTTTTGGAAATATTACTAAATCCAAACTGAATCCGACTAAATCCTAACGGAATCAAACCAAATTTTTACTGTATCCGAATGAGGCTGAAATTTATAAATTCGAAAATTTGAATTTTGATTGAACTCAAACCAAAAATTGAATTTACTCCGAGTGTCCAGGCCTGGTTAATTTAAATAAAATTATAATCCATGAGAAATAGTTGGTAATTATGTTTTCTATAGTAAGGATGATCTGAATACTTATATATATTAAATATTTTACTCATAAATAAATGATGTATTAAAATTATATAAATTAATAGAATTATAATATTTTTAAAAATTGACTGTAATTATTTGGATAAAATATATTAAATTTATGTCTATAAATGATTTTTAATCACTGATACATTTTTCAATCTAATCTTGATTGAGTAGGAATGATACAAACTTGATATGATACATTTTAAAAAATTCACTGTAATTATTTGGATCAAATATATTATATTTGTCTATAAATGATTTTTAATAGTTTAGTGATACTTTAAAAAAAAAAGTTTGACGGTTTGGTTAAGTTTACTAGTCTTAATCATTGAAAGACACCATAACACGCGGTTTCACATTTGATGATCGGAGAAGACCCAACCAAACAAGAATCTCACATTGGCATTGGTCAACCATTTATATAAATATTAAAACAAAATTGAATATTTTAGGCCAAGCTGAAAAAGACAAAATATGAAAGATAGAAAAACCTTGCTCTATACGCCATCGTCGTTGTCTTTATCCTCTTCTCTTAGATCATTTCTCTGTAACAAAAGTATTTTGTTTTGTCTTTTCTTTCTTTTTTAAAAGCATATCCTTTTGTTATTCAGAGCTTGAAAGTTGTCTCTGTTTATCAAGACCATGTCGTCTACTTCCTTCACCGACCTCCTTGCTTTTTCCGGCGTTGACTGCTACGAAGAAGACAAAGACTTTCATGGCGGGATTTACCCGGACAGAACCGGGTCGGGTTTACCCAAGTTCAAGATGGCGCAGCCTTCTCTTCTTCCCATTTCTCAATCTTTCGCCTTCTCCGATTTACTTGACTCTCCTCTTCTTCTCAGCTCCTCTCATGTAAAGCTTCCTTCTTATTTAATCATTTCATCTATCTATTACAAAACTGAAAAAATAAGAATAAAAATCCAAACCACCTTTCTCCTTAGTTATGTTCTGTCTTCGAACTAAATAATCCTAAATTTTCTCTGTCTTGTGTTTCCTTACAGAGTTTGATATCTCCGACGACAGGAGCGTTTCCATTTCAAGGCAACCACTCAGATTCCCCATGGCAGCTACAATCGCAAACGCAACCGTCAAACGCTTCTTCTGTATGTGTTTCCCTTAGCGTTTCTTAGACATCTACTCTTCTTCCATACTGAACCAGACACTGTTTATTTTTCACAGGCTTTTCCAGACACATATTGTGTTCAAGATCTCCACAAGAAGAAGGATCCGGTTCCTCGTGAATTTGCAGCACACAGTTTGGGATCAGATCGCCAGGTTAAGGTACCATCTTACATGGTGAGTAGGAACTCTAATGATGGTTATGGTTGGAGAAAATACGGCCAGAAACAAGTGAAGAAAAGCGAAAACCCTAGGAGTTACTTCAAGTGTACGTATCCTAATTGTGTTTCCAAGAAGATTGTTGAGACTGCTTCTGATGGACAGATCACTGAGATCATCTACAAAGGAGGTCATAACCATCCTAAGCCTGAGTTCACCAAGAGACCATCAGGATCAACATCATCATCGGCTAATGCAAGAAGAATGTTTAATCCTTCTTCTGTTGTTAGTGAAACACATGATCAGTCAGAGAGCTCTTCCATCTCGTTTGACTACAGTGATCTTGAGCAGAAAAGCTTTGAATCTGAGTATTTTGAGATAGATGAAGAGGAGGAACAACCTGAGATTAAGAGGCTGTAAGTAGTTCTTTGGAAGCAAAAGGTTCTTAAGAAAGAGGAAAGAAAGAGAATGACATTTTTTGAGTTTTTGTGTGGAACAGGAAAACAGAAGGTGGAGATGAAGGAATGTCTGTCGAAGTAAGCAGAGGAGTGAAAGAACCAAAAGTTGTTGTTCAAACACTAAGTGACATCGATGTTCTTGTAGATGGCTTTAGATGGAGGAAGTATGGTCAAAAAGTGGTCAAGGGAAATACTAATCCAAGGTTATACAAAATCTTTAACTAATTTTATCAATCTTATTTAGTTGTATTCATTTTCCTAACCCTCTTTGGTTACAACAGGAACTATTACAAGTGCACATACCAAGGTTGTGGAGTGCGGAAGCAAGTAGAAAGATCTGCAGAAGATGAGAGAGCGGTTCTCACTACCTATGAAGGAAGACATAATCATGATATCCCAACCACGCTACGTCGCTCATGAAAACAAAAACGTTCTTGAGACTTGATCACTAGTAATATCATCTTAGGATTTGGAAAAAAAAAAAAACTCTTACTATGGTTGTCTTTTGTGCTCATTACAGTTTGTTTATTTGTCTGTAACAGTCAGTACTTTGTTGTTGTACAGAGTGGTACTGGTGGTTAGTAGTTTTAAAGAACCTCTATTCGTGTGTGTGACTTAAATACTTAGAGTCCATTTTATTTTATTTTATTTTATTATCTTGTGTTCCAGTACATTTCACATTCAAGATTGATAAGCAATTGTAATGTTATGTAGTCCATTTTGCATGTTATTTTCACAATGGGTATTGTTTCCACCCAATTTTTGTTTAAATTATAATTTTAAATCATAAAATATTACAACTTAAAAGTGAAACCACCAAGACCACAAACTTAGAACGGTGGAGATTGTGCACAAAGAACTTAACCAAACAAAAAAATAGAAAGAAACAATAAATAGAAACTACAAAGACAGGCTCATCTTTCTTCTCTTCTCTCACATAGCTCTCTCTTTCTTTGACCTCACAAAGTCAAGTAAATTCAGAGTCCTCTGTTTTCTTCTCCATCTCCTTACATTCACATTGCACTCTCATTCTTAATGCATTCTCCATTACATTTTCTCCTCAAAAAATGAAAACATAACATTCATAGTCTAACCCCAAGCCTACTCTGTTTCTTTCTCTCTTCCTGCATTCTCTTCTACAGATAAGAAAAGACCATGGATTTTTCGAGGTTAGGTTCAGCAGAGAACAACTCATCGCAATGGGGCGTAGTGCACGGTCCATTCATGATGGAGGAGCTTGTATGCCAGAAGGAAAACATGTTGACATCAAAAGGACTTTTCATGAACAGTGACCCTCTCCAATACGCAGTACCTCTTCTCATGCTTCAAATGTCAGTCATCATTATTACCTCTAGGATTATCTTCGGTATCCTTAAACCTTTGAAACAAGGAATGATCTCTGCTCAAGTCTTGGTATGCCTTTTCTGATGTTACATTTTATATATGTCTTTAATTGATAAAAAAAAAAAAAAGAGTTTTGAAATGATCTTGTGTATGGATAGGCTGGTGTTGTTCTAGGGCCCTCTTTCTTAGGACGTAACGTAGCTTACTTGGATACCTTCCTTCCCCCTGGAGGCAAGATCATAATACAAACAATTTCAAACGTTGGTTTCATCATCCATCTCTTCATTCTTGGGCTCAAAATCGATTGGACTATTATCAAGAAAGCCGGTTCTAAAGCAATCCTAATCGGTGCTGCCTCTTACGCCTTCCCTTTCTCCCTCGGAAGCCTCACGGTTTTCTTCATTAATAGTACTATAGGACTTCCAAGAGAGGTGGTTCACTGTGCAGGCACTGTGATCTCCTTGAGCTCGATGACATCATTCCCGGTTACAACCACGGTCTTAGAGGAACTTAACATTCTCAACTCAGAGCTGGGACGGTTAGCGACCAACTGTTCAATTGTCTGTGAAGCTTGTGGCTGCTTGGTGGCTCTAGCGTTTAATCTCTACACGCGAGAGCGAACTATGAATGGTGTTTGGGGAATTCTGATGATCACACTTCTTCTTGTGACGATTGCTTGGATTTTTAGACCTTTGATCATATGGCTCACCGAGAGGAAAAGCAAATCTATGAATAACAAAGACCTTGTCCCGTTTTACCCCATCCTCTTATTATTGTCTATTGTTAGCATTGCCTCAGAGGTTTTTGGCGTCCACGCTGCGTTTGGAGCGTTTTGGTTAGGCGTTTCGCTTCCTGACGGTCCGCCTTTGGGCACAGAACTTGCTATAAAACTCGATATGATGGCTTCAAGTATGCTACTTCCCTGTTTCATCGCCATTAGTGGGTTACAGACTAACTTCTTTGAGATCACAGAGAGCCATGAGAATCATGTGTTAATGATTGAAGTCATCCTCGTGGTCACCTATGGCTGCAAGTTCCTTGGAACAGCGGCTGCGTCTGCTTACTGCAACACTCAGATCGGAGACGCGCTTTGTTTAGGGTTCTTGATGTGTTGCCAAGGTATCATTGAAGTCTACACAACTGTTGTATGGAAAGATGCTCAGGTAACAAATACTTCCTCCATTTTTAATAATTGACAGTTTTAGAAATTTTATTTTGTTCCAACTGAGATGACGTATTCAATTTTTATTCGAAATTTTATTACATTTTCATGTTATATGACGTGTTTATTATACCATATATTTTTGTTATTAGTTAGATTGTGTTTAACTGAATAATTAATGATATTTTTGTAAAATGTAAAAAAAAAAAAATATTATCTTAATTATGTGTATCTTAGAACGTCTTCTAATAAAATTGGAGGGAATAAAACAGACGTTGGCTAATTTGGTAGTAATTAATAGGATGTTTAGTGTCATGAAAGTGAATTAGCCATTGATTAGTGTTTCATGCTCTAATTAATTCTTTTGTATCTTAATGTAAGAATATATTTGTTTACAGGTTGTTGACACACAATGCTTTAATCTGATGATTATCACGATTTTGATTGTAACTGGGATCTCGAGGTTCCTTGTAGTGTACCTATACGATCCATCTAAACGCTACAAAAGCAAAAGTAAACGAACGATCATCAACACGAGGGAACGCAATCTTCAGCTCCGTCTTCTTCTTTGCATCTACAATGTTGAAAATGTTCCTTCCATGGTTAATCTTCTAGAAGCTACTTACCCGACAAGGTTTAACCCGATATCATTCTTCACGCTGCACCTTGTCGAGCTCAAAGGCCGAGCTCACGCAGTCCTCACACCGCACCACCAGATGAATAAACTTGACCCAAACACGGCACAGTCCACACACATTGTCAATGCCTTCCAGCGTTTTGAGCAAAAGTATCAGGTAAACAGAATAGTTTTTGCTATGCAAACATAGAAAAAGGATAAATTTTGTATAAAACCTTGACCAGCTCGGGAAATATACATACTAATTAATATATACCTAAATGCAAATACAAACACAAATAAACACTGAAAGTGAAAACGTAAAAGTCAAGAAAACGATTGTGTTCGTTTTACATCAAGTGTTACGTTGACAATTAACAAAACAAATGCTTAAAAGACTTTAAAATTATTAATTGGTTTGGAACATATATTAAAAAGGTAGACACAAATAAAAAACCGAAAGTGCAAAGATAAACACCAAAAGTAAACGAGATGGTTCATCTGCGTTTGCGTTTACAATTACAAATTTAAAACAAAAAAAAAGAAACTGATTAATCTACTTTTTGGGTTTTGGGAAATGTACATAACTAAACAACAACCACAAACAAAATGGGATGGTATTTTTGACCCAAAAAAAACCAAATGGTACTTTTTTTTTTTTTTGTTCTTTTGATAACTTATATTTAACTTTTTCTTTTGACAAAAAAAAAAATTTAACTTTTTTTTTTTGACAACTTATATTTAACTTAAATTTATTTAACTTATATTTAACTTTTTCTTTTGACAAAAAAAATATTTAACTATTTTTTTGACAACTTATATTTAACTTGCATTTATGATGCATCAGAGTACTCTCATGGCCCAACATTTCACCGCAGCCGCGCCTTTCTCGAGTATAAACAACGACGTATGCACGCTCGGACTCGACAAGAAGGCAACATTAATCGTGCTTCCGTTCCACAAGCAGTACGCAATCGACGGGACAGTCGGTAATGTCCACGGAGCCATCAGGAATATAAACCTCAACGTGCTTGAAGCAGCACCTTGTTCCGTCGCATTATTCATTGACCGAGGGGAATGCGAGGGACGTCGCTCCGTCTTGATGAGCAATACGTGGCAGAACGTGGCGGTGCTGTTCATCGGAGGCCGGGACGACGCAGAGGCACTCGCGTTATGTATGAGGATGGCTGAAAAACCGGAGCTTACCGTCACAATGATACATTTTCGTCATAAGAGCTCACTTCAGGACGAGGACTACAGCGCTATGGACGAGTACAATCTGATAAAGGATTTCAAGAGCCATGCAGCGAACAAAGGGAAAGTCCACTACGTAGAGGAGATAGTGAAAGATGGCGTGGAGACAACACAAGTGATTAGCTCACTTGGTGAGGCTTATGACATGGTTTTAGTGGGTCGAGACCATGACCTAGAGTCCTCGGTCTTGTACGGACTTACTGACTGGAGCGAGTGCCCTGAGTTAGGTGTGATTGGAGATATGTTGACGTCGCCCGATTTTCATTTCTCGGTACTCGTTGTTCATCAGCAGCAAGGAGATGCTGAACTGGCCATTGACGATAGTTATAAATTGCCTGTCGAGCATCAAAAGGTTGGAGATACAAGAGTACAGCCACGCTTCTCTGCTGAAGAAGGTTTCACTACCATTGATCTCAGCAAAAATTAGAGTAACTATTCTCAAAAAAAAAAAATTTAGAGTAACCAATTGACTAATTTTTGATTTAGTAATATTTTGTTAATTAAAAGTTCATAACTACAGATATATTCTTTCTTTTATATATAAGAGGTGATGTGTTTTGAATCTTGAGTTGAGTCAAGATAACGGTACAAGACATGTCATGTGGTACTTGTAGATATCTTTTTCCTTTACTTTTTAGTTTGATGTTAATAAGAGAGAAAAAGAAGTAAGTTTTTTTACCAAAAAAAAAAAAGAAATAATTATTTTTCGCAAATGACGTGTATAAATAATTTCATTAGAAAATAGCTTGCCATGAATCCTCCTCACATATACTGCATATTTATATCTATTTTATTAAAATACAGTCATTCTTTTTATCTACTGATACAAGTTGTCATTTAAATTTGGACCCTTTCTAGAGTGTTACAAATAATACAAGTTATATAGTTGATTTAACCGCATTACTTAAATTAAACCGGCGGTTATTTATGGAATAGAGTTTTGGGCTTACTTTTGTTTTTATGACATTTAATTGTTTGGTTTTTTGGGCTTAGTATTAAAGAAAAACTCCAAAAAACATTAAATAAAATTTCCACCTTAATGAATCAAAATTCAATTACTATTTTCAGGCCCAAAAATATTTAATATTTTCAACAAAACAAAATTATCTATTATTAATCACTTATTTAAATCATGTACTTTAAAACATGTTAATATTTTATGTTAATATTTTTAGCCCAAAAATATTTAATATTTTCAACAAAACAAAACTATCTATTATTAATCACTTATTTAAATCATGTAGTTTAAAACATGTTAATATTTTTTATTTTAAATAACAATCACTCTATCTTGATAAATTTTAATGGTAACTTTTAAATAATTTATTGTTTTATTTTTCTT